TTATAGTTCCAAATATCATCTTCACAAAGATTGTATCAGTATGCAAAATCCTACTTAAATGTGTTTTGTTATAATTTGAAAGACCATCGACAATAAAATGGTAAAAGTTTGGAATAGAAAGTCAAAGTTCGACTCCTGTTCAGTTTAAAAAGTTGAAAAAAAAATTTGATTTTTAAGCTTTTTAATTACAAATTCAAGATTTAACAGAATCAATGATTAATTATCGACTATACTAAACCACCAATCGTAGCAACAACTTAGTCAGATTTTTCAAGGACATATCCATATCCTCACAATAACAATACATTTCCTTCAAATTACAATTCCAACACCCAAGAGCACCAAACTCTATTAAAATTTCAACAGTCATTTATTTTGATTTAAAAGCAGTTTATAAAATTCAACCCTCTTCGCACACTTGTCGTGTCTAATGTTATTCATCCACCCTCAATTTTCATTTTCAATTCATTCTTTTTCTAAATAAAACTATTTGATTTGTTCAAATTTGAAAATTTGTAGCTTCTGTTTGTTTGCGGGTTCACAAAATTTGTTCACTATTGCGACATAAATTTAAATTTATTGCAATTTATGAATAGTTAATGCAATTAAAAGCAAATATATATATATTTCGGGGGTGCAAATTTGGACGGTTTTTAATGAGGATGAATTTTATAGACTGTAATTCAGTTCAGTGATTTGAATTTATGTTAATTACTTTATAGTTTTGAATGTTATTATTAATTTATTATTGTGAATAAGTTGAATCGAATTAGTTTATAGTTTTGGATCTGTTTATTTAAAAGTCTATATTTTTTACTTCATTGATTCATAACTTAATTATTTTCATGAAATTTTCATTTAAAATTCTTTATAAACTTTTCAATAAATGTAAATTTACAAAAAGCTTACGAAAAATGTAAAATTTAATGAGTGTCAAATTAATTAATTAACATTTCAAGTTCTTAAGTCTCTCTCGATGATTCAAGTAATTAAATGTAATTTTTCAGGTGAAAATATAAAATCCATCAAAGGAAAAAAAGCTAGAGAAAGATGTAATTAAGTTAAATACACAGAAATAAATTAAACACACAAAAAAACAGAAAAATACTTGAAATATATTTAATTAATTAATTAAATTCAAAATCCGGATTTAGCGCGAGAGCTGAAAAAGGGTGAAAATAAACGAAGATTAGTGGGTGGATGGAAATGCTGCTTAAACCCTTTCGCCTTTTTTCGAGATTATTTTTATTTAAATTTTCAGTGTTTAAATAATCGCAAATATTGTTTGTCAAATTGCTGTTAACTCTTTCGAAAGGGTTATTATTGGAGTTCTTAGAAAGGTTCTGAATTCTTTTTTTTATAATCCATAGGCGTTCACAGTTTAACAGATGATAATTGAGTGTTTAAATTAACATAATTGAAAAAGTTATTAACTGCTAAGTTACGTTTTTAACATGGTTTTGTTATTAGGTTCGTAGCTGGTAGCTAGCTTTAATATCGAGGAAAATATTATCTAGATTTCTTTTTTTAATTGTTTGAAACCGTAGAAATTTCACGCAAATTAAGGATTCTTTAGGATCTATTTCTTTATTTCGTTATAGAATTCAAAAAATTCCTATTATTTATTATATATAAATATGGTCATGGATTATGCTTTTTAAAGATTGTCAACATTAGAGTGATAATTCTACCAGTGCAAGAGTAAGACAACAAATTTATAAAACACTCTAATTTGAAACAACGAAGGTTCTATTTCTTCCAGAATCTGATTTTTCAAACATTCAAAACAAAATGCTCACAACAGTTAAGTAGAAATTAAGTCAATTCTTAACAATAATTTTTAAAAAAATAAATCCATAAAAAATCATCCAGTACTCTCATTTACCTGCTTTAACTTTCTCATCGTCAATAATTTCAATTTTGAAATTCTCACTCATTTTATTATTATTATTTAAAGGCGATTGATTATTAATTTCTCTAATTTGTTTAAGAAGTTCATTGACAGGTTTGGCGCGAATTTTTTTCCCAACCAAATCCTCAACACGAATTAAATTGTTTGCCGAATTTTCCTGATTTTCTGGAATTTTTTTTATATCTAAACTATCAAAATGTCTCTTTTTACCACAATCAGAAATGAGCCAATTTTTTGTCACATGCTTACTTCCATCACGATTTAATTTCTTAATTAACGGAAGTGGACTCGTCGATCGTCGCTCAATTAATCCAGCTGTTGATGTGGAAATTTTATCACTACACTTTTTATCACAATTTTCATTCTTTTGTTCATGATCACCAGATGGATAAATTTTAACATCATTCGATGTGTCATTTGTTATATCAATATCCACAGATACATCCTCATCATCCATACTGTCATCGATCGATCCATCAGCATTTATTTTATTATGATCATTCAATTTATCATCAAACTTTGCTGACATTTTAATAATTTCAAGAACACGATTCGTTGTATTGGAATATTCAAAAGATTTTGTCACAAAATACGCGAGCTGTTCCATCACTTTATATTTGTTTCTAATTCAACACTTTCATTTATAAATCCACTTGTGCGTCATATCTCACCGATTGTTGAATCACAACTAAAAGGACATAGAAGATGCTCCTATATTCTCGTAGTACTTTCCATTTGAGCAAATAAAAATAATCATAAAAATTTACACATTGCACAATTCTCAACCGCACCGTACGAATAGAAAGGAAGTTGTAATTCTAAATTGATATAAAAAAAGAAGAAGTTGTTTAAACAAAATTGTAAGAATCTTTTTTAAGTGTAAAGAAAAACCCCACTCAACAATAAAATTCGTATTAAAATGAAAATTCATCCAATCAAATTGTAATTTCACTAAGTGAGAATGGTCTTTTTATTTTCAAGCAATTTAGCCTGAGAATCCTTGGATGTGGTGTGAGGATTTCAACTTTGTATATAGGAATGTTAACCATTTTGATTGTTGTTGGCTGGAGAGAGATGGCAATAGACTCGAGATTTTGATAATTCAACACATCCTATTGTCCTTATCTTAATGTCTTTTCTGTTTGAAGGGGCTTGAAAATTTGGTCAGGTTGAAATAGAATCATTCGAAGTGTTGACAAGATTGTCAAGTGATGAATGTTGATATTTCTTTGTATGGATCATATAATTAAAAGTAAACTTACTTAGAGGACTTGCCGTGAAATTGGATTCGATTGACTAATTCTCTATTTTAGAGCCTTATGATGATCAAACTTAATGATTAGAATTAAGGTTCCGATTTGCTCATACAATGTCATTAAGATAAAATCAGTGTGTGTTCATTGTTGGACATTTCTTTTTTGAAATCTTAACTTATGGTATGCTCTAAACCAAACAATGCTTTAAGAACCTAAACATTTAATGATTTTATGATTTTCATTAAGATTAAAACTTTAAAATTTGATGACCTTTTGTTTGAATCAGTTTCATATCCCTACAACTTTCTCTTTCCATCCAAATCAAGCGCAATCCTCACATGGCATGAAAATGCAATCACAAGCTCCGCCCATTACCAACAGAAAGAGAGGAAAGTATGCAACAGACAAGAACAGAAAATCTTACATGAAATTGAAAATGATTTCATTACGAAGAGGCGAGAAAAAGAAGAAAAATTCATGTCGGGGTTGTAGTTTTGTTTGGATTTATGTCTCAATTTTTTATTCTTTTCCTTTCCTCTCATCTCCTCGACCCCATTTATGCAGTCGTTACTCGCTATTTATTTTATCAAGTGCTGTTTTTACGATTTCGCGCTAGAAAATGTTGCCGATTTGGAAATAATCATAAATTTCTCGTGCTGTTGAAGTTGAATAAAAGCAAAGAAAAAAGGAAGAAGGAATTTTTATCATCAGTTGGGCGCCTTTAGCCTGAACTTTTTAAATGGTTTTTAAATGTTCTTCCTCTTTACGATAATTTTTAATGTAAATTTTATTGGAGTTTTTCTCAAGTTTTCTTCTTTTTTTGGGTATTATATCAAATTAATATTGCTTACCGCACCACTTAGGAGTCTTTTTCACATCCATACATTATGCATAAATTTCCATTTCAATGGATAAAGTTTGCGCAGTGAATTTTTCATCTCGGTCGGTGATTTGCATAATGAAATTAATTACAAAATGATTTCTTCTACAATAATTGCATTAGAGCTTCGCCATTTATGGATTGTGATGCTGTTGTTATAGGAAATTTATGCAAATTTAATTAAAATTGTTTAATGGAGCGTTAATTGTAATTGAAAATTTATTAAACAAGTTTTTTTTGGTCACTGAAGTTTTTCAGCTGGTGGCTGATTTAAGAGTTGCATTGTTGATTTATGTGGTTTGGGATGTATGGTAATAATTTGGAGACTTTATTGCTGTTTTTTTGATATTTTAGACTTAATGTTATAAATTTTTCATATTTAGCACTGCTTTGGAATTTGAATTTTTATCGGGAATTTTAAAAATGGCTGGTCTTTTAATAGCTTTATACTAATGATAATCTAGAAGTAATACAAAGGGGTTTCAGAAAAAAACTAAGGTTCTATGCACTTTTATCTTTGGAAGGTTGTTCATTTGAAATATTAGGTTTTTTCAGGTTTTAAACCTTTTTTATCAATCCATCTATGATGACGCGGCGACAAAATAGTAGTATTGAATTTCTTTAGACCAAACCACAATACTTTACTATATATAAAAACCTTTACTAGATAAAACTGAGCTTAAACACCAGCTCTTGTACCGCCAAATCTTCAATCTAGGCTTATTTGCTTGCGACATCCATTACTCAAAGAAAGTTGGTGTCTAAGTGAATAGTTGAATTAGTAAACGACATCTTAATTCAATTAAGAATGTTTTTTTTATACTCGGTAGTCTAGTGGTGAATATCTTTATACGAACCTGAATGTTGAGAAGTTGAAAGCTTCTGATGCAATTTAACCTATAACAATATGAAAAATAACACGAATTTTAAATGAAACAAAGATAATTTTTTTGGAAATTGTTTATTTTTTCTCGCATTTATAAATACATAATCAAATTTTAAATTTTTTTCTTCAACTAAAATCGCTAAAAATGAGTTGATTTTTTTCTGTTTTTTTTATCGTTCAATGCATTAAATTACAAAATAATTATGTTTTTTAACCTTCATTATAAGTAGGAATAAATGTAAAATAAAAATTTACAAATGGTGTTTTTAATTCATGTTTCGCTCACTTTCCAATGTAGATAAAAAGTTGAGATGCTTAGCATTTTTAAAATATTTAAAAAGATTGTATGTATAATATAATCAATGAATTTAAGCTATAAGAAAAATTCATTTTTAATTAAAAATGATGATGCTTGGTGACAGACAAAAAAGGAAAACAATTTTACAGGATTTAATTTAAATTTATAGGTTTTTTTTTCGTTTAAATTAGCTTAAGAATAATATTCAATTAATTAATTTTACAACATTGAATTAAACGCTAAACTTGTGGATAGCAATGAGCATACTTTGTATAAAAGATAACTTGACATTATTACAAGTTTATCGGTCGCGGATGTAGTGTCGTTTAGGATGAAGATTTTAGGGAATTTCTGGGGGGTATATGCATTGAAAATTGAATTATTTGTATAGACCCCCTTGACTCTAACCTAAATTCCTTATCCAAAACAACAAACCATCCTCAATTCATCGTTTCATGTCTATATGCTCACGTACCGCGAAAAATTACACAGATATCTCTATAACTCTATACGCTATTCTTCATACTAATATTAATAATTTTCATTTATTTTTTTTGTTGTTTTTATATTAATTCTCGTGTTTTTCCCACCCCTCATTTTCTATGTCCTATAATGTCCATTTATTCATATTTACACAATTTTTTTATAGCTTTCCGTTTCCTATCAAATAAATAGAAAAATTTCCACCGAAAAATAGTTTTTTGCTGTTGCATTTTCTTTAATGGAAAGTGACTTTTTATGTCCTCAACTTTTTAAAATTTCATCTTTACACAGCTTTCAAAATTACAAAAAGTCGCTTGTTTTTTGAATCTACCGAAATTTTGTTTACATCCTTTCTTTTTATTAATACGAAATTTAATGTTTTTCTCATCATTAGTATATTCATATCCATAATATCAAATAGTTACCACATCTCGAATCTTTAGTTCCTCTAATTCCTTCCTCAAATTATTATTCTTTCATTTTTTATATAGCAAATTATCAATTGATCTGTCCAAAGACTCCTTCTGCAGCTACATGGAAGTGATTAAATCATCACCGAGACAGGTCAATAGTTAATTTTGGAACTGCTGCTTATTTTAGAAACAGATCATTATTAAATTATTGATTCTTTTTTAGTTTTTTTTTAATAGTAGTAGAAACTTTATGACTGACTAATTTAGTCATAATCATCATCGTCGAAATCACTTTCCTCATCTTCTTCCGAACTTGACAATTTTCGTCGCTTTTTCTTCGATGTCGACTTCTTTGATGGTGTTGATTTGGCTTTTGAAGGCTTTTGTGTTTGTGGCTTGGGAATGGAATTCACATTTATAGCTTTTTCCTGTGGAATTTAATTAAAATCAGTTAATCAGATTTCTTAAAGGTACTAATATGTTTTATATCAAGTAATACTCACAAAGTTCTGATACTCAGGCGGAAGATTAACGCGAGTTAAATTGATTTGTACATTATTCAAATGAACATTATTCACAACAGCATCAGCCATCAGCGTACTCGAATTTCCATTAGCATTTAGACTTTCAGACGTTACGGCTTGATTTCTTATTGACTGCTTTACGAGAGGCTTATTGTCGTCGTCTTCCTCATCTTCTTCATCAGGATCTAATTTTATCATCAATTGCTTAAACTATGGAATAAAAATAAAGTTTTTATATAAGAAACTGAGTGTTTAGGGAACTTTAAACTTTGATCCTTAAAACTTACCTCTAAATATCTGTCAACTAATACCCGTTTTTGTGATTCAGTTAATTCATCTCCAGCTTTGGGATCTTCCTTGAGAATTGCAATGGTTGCCTTTGGATTAAATGGCTGAATAGGTCGACGTTGCATAGCCTTATCGTAAATTTTAGTACTTTCTGACGGTGAGTATTGTGCAATTTTACTGTGAATCAAAAGTAATCCTTAGTTTTGTCTAATCTAAAGATTTAATAAAACTACTTACGCATCGTTAATGCCGTACATGTCCTTTAAATGCTGCTTAAGAATTAATAAAAGCATACAGCCTTGAGCTGATGTAATGCACTGTTGTAAATCTGTAGTATTATCTGGTAATCGTTCATATAAAGCATCTCTATCCTCCTCATCATCCTCGTCTTCAAGTGGATTGTTTTCCTTCTCTATGTTCTCCTCGCCAGGCTTTGGTTTTAAACCATCACGAAAGTTTTGAAGCAAATTCGTTCCAGTAACGGAAATAAATAAATCAATTTGATGTATTAAATACAAAGGTTCATCTTGAACGACATAAGGAAAATAAGCTAAATTATCAGCTAAATAGAGCATAAAGCTTAGTGTCGATTTCTCATCATCGAATTGTTTTGTCATCGAACCGACAAGAGCTCGTCGATTTGGTTTTGTATTTCTAAGTAACGAGTAGACGAATCCATTCAGAGCTGAAGGTGGTTCTTCTAGTCCTGCTTTGGGCAATCGATAACCACGTGCAGCACGACCATTTGTTTTTTTCTGAATTATACTTTGCAGATGGTATGATAGCTGAACTCCTTGTTGACATTTCATGTTCACAAATCCTTGATACTGCTTATCAATCTCCTGCAAATGACGATCAGCGCTATGTGATGCCTAATAAGGAAATTTCCAATTAATAAATGCAATATAAAGGCACAAATTGTATTGACTTACTTCCGTTTCAGGATCAGTACTTAGGCAAATGAGATAAGGAACTATTTGTACTGGATGCACAAGACCTTGACGTAAGACAATCTCAACGACACGCATCGCCATTAGTCGTACGCTAAAGTCTCCATTTAGGAAGGAATTGAGGATTTCCTTTAAGTAGATTTGAATCACACGACTAGACATTCCTGAGGAAATATCGCACATTTCTTTCAGATCTTCAGTCTTCGATTGTACTTGCCCTGTGAATTTAAATAAAGTTTAATAAACTTGATTTTAAGCTATTCTGCTTAATACTTACACTCTTTATCATTCTTTGTCATTTTAATCTCTTCCTCCATTAGATATAATAAGATATTTTTAAGCACCATAATTTTCAACTCGTTCTGGTCGCTCAGATTGCTTAGAAGATGATTATAATATTCCCTCAACTCAGGCCGAGTTAAATATTCACAATTTGTTACACAAAAATAGCCAAGTGCTTGAAGGATCTCACGCTGAATCGGTTGTATATTACTATTGAGAAAATATAATAATGTTTCGAAAATTTCATCACAGATGTTTGGAGATAAACGATCTATAAGAGAAATGGAGAATGGTTAGTCATATGATGGATTGCCAAAAAATTATGTTCTTACTTCTTTCATTTGTATTTGATCCATTTACATCCACTCGACTAAAGTCGAAAAATCTCATTAGTAATCCCACGGTGAAAATGCCACGACGAAAAACTGGTGTGTAAATTTGCTCAGATGGTAAATTTGGATCTCTTATCATTCGTTCTTTTGTGTAAACTAATGCACGTGTATAAACTCTATAAATAGACGAAGGTGTTAAGGCATAAGCTTTAAAACAATAGACATTATTTGACTCACTTTGCAAAGCATTCACGAATTAGTGGATAGTTCTTTGTCATTTTATTTATAACGGCACCGAGACATGCCACGCAACTATGTACGACCATTTGACGTTGCGTCACTATTAGTGTCATCAAGTGAGCTTCTAAATCCGACAAGAAGGCATCGCCTGGATGTTCCATAAGTGGCACAACCTGAAATAACAATAATTAATCATAAATCATGCAGAATTAATAACTTATTTTAGTCCATACCTGTTCCAATATCTCGGCGAGTAATGCAAGAAATTTAATTTGCTCATTCGATGTACATTTGATATTCAAATAAGGTTCTAGTGAAATGGCATGTGCCACGATTAATTGTGGTCGTATTTGTGAGAATGAATGCAATGCAGTCACACATCCGACAAGTCGTGCTATATTTGATTTCTCATATTCCATAATTAATGATACTAATCCATCTACAATCTGCTGGCACGATCGAATTAAAACTTGAGAGATTTCCTTCCGTCCTTTTGAGTCGTCTTTCACCTCCTTTGGCTCGAAAACCTGAAATTTTATTGATATTCATGAAAACTGTGATTTGAGGATTACTCAGAGTTTATCTTACAGTTTTTAGTAATCCATGGAAAGCCTTCTCTTGTGATGACAGTTCAACATCAATGATTTGGTCACATTTGCGACGAATTGATGCCTGGAAGAAATAATAGAATGTGTTACTTTTTCTCTTAACAAAGAAAGCTGTCGATAATCATGTGACGTATGATAAAAAGTAAATTTTTGCGCATCTAGCTCATACTTATTTTAGAAAATTTAACCGAAAATAAGAAAGAATTTTAACGGACTTTTGAGATTTACATTTTAACTGATTTCTTGAATTTGATATTTGCAACAAAATTTTAAAATTCAAAAATAACGGTCGTTAACGGTTTTTCAAATTTATAGAAATCTAGCGACTAAAGAAAGGCAAATAAAGCCATTTAGCACAATTAGTTGACTCACCTTATCATTATTGTTGCATGGAGTGAACCACATAGTCATAAAAACTTCCATAACTAATTTCTGTATATTCTCCTCGTCATTGACTCGTCGCAGCATCTTAATGCAGATATCAGGTATTTTAGGATGATCAGGAAACTCTCCACAAATGTCACGAAGAATCTTAATAACACGCTTTCGTACAGACACACCCGTATCGAGAATTCTCGGCGATATCATTTCATAATATTGATCCACTAATATCCGATCGGTTAGAATATATTTACCAACTAGATCTACAGCTGCTTCACGCACAGAAATGGCTGCATCGAGTAGCTTTTGTGCGACACCAATTTGCATATCCTTTCGTGCTAATATCGATTGATCAACTTCAACAATATTTCCTAGACACTTCATGGCTCGCGTACGAATTGCAACGACTGGCTCGCGCACAACCAAAATAATTTTCTTTAAATAAATGTCAAAGCTTTGCGAGAATCGACGCTTACTCGCAAGATATTGGGCAATGAGATTTGCATTATCATAATCGAGATAGGTTTTCAGGTCAATAATATCACGAGTCGATTTCTTAAATGGTGCAACTTTACTCAATAAATACTTTTTGCGCTGATCAAGGACCTTAAATATTTCACGATTCAGTTCTGGATCTATATCACGTACTTCCTGAACATCGGAGTCACTTGATTCATCACTATCATCACTACCTCGATGCTTCTTTCGATTATTTGTCTTTTTTGTCTTTTTACGACTCGCATATCCTTTCGCACCATCAGCAATCTCCTTCTTTCGACGATGAATATCATAATACCATAATGTGAGATAAAAGTGTCTTGAATGATTCCAAACTGGATTTTCTTCTTGACTATTTAACAGTAAATAATCCAGTAAGATTCTTTGTAGGAATTCCGTTCGTTCCTCTTCAGCATCAATCTCAATCATTGATTCACTGTCTAAATCATCTTCGCCATCCTTTTCTTGCTCAATTTTAATACATTTAATCAGTTCGTCCATAACTTTTACACGATTCCTTGATTTAACTGTGTCCTTTCTTAATCGTGCTGCAACTAATCCCAAATATTCTAACGATGCGACACGAATTGATTGATCAACAGACTTATCTGACATGTATTTAACAAGTACCGTACCGAGAAGTGTTAATAATAATTCTGATGCTGGCCATTCTGGTTTATTCACAGTCGTTAAAAGATCTTGAATGAAATTCTCAAATAGTGGACGAAAGTCGGTCTCCGTTGAGCGACTCTTACACTTATTGAGAAATGTTTGAATGAAATTACCGCCAATACTCGTTGCTGTCTTATATTTCTCCAGCATAAAACTATCTTGATCTATTTTTCCTTTACTCTCTGAATTCTTTTTACGAGAAATCTTTTCGTCATCGTAAATCTCGTCAGGAAGTAACACAGAACATTGAATTAATTGAAGAACTAGAGCAGTCATCATTTGAATGCATCCAGCATTATTCATAAGCTTATATGGTCGAAGATTTCTTTTCGAGTGCGGTAAACGGTCGACAGATGAGAGAATATCATTCAATATGTTGTGACGATGATGCTTATATTTCTCATTTTGGAATATCTAAAAATAAAAAGTTTATGAAGAGAAGAAAATTTGAGTAAGACTTCTTTTTGACTTTAAATTGTTCGCACAAACGATTTTAACCACCCTTTTGAATGCCATAATACCGCTATTTGCTTTATAAATTATTACTTTAGTGACTATGGGGCCATTCACTTATTACGTAACGCTTTTAGGGGGGAGGGGGGTCTAAGATTTTGTTACGGTTCAAACAAGGAAATTTTTTTTTCATACAAATTTTGTTACGAGGGGGGGGGGGGGGGGGGGGTCTAAAAAGTCATTTTTTCGCGTTACGTAATAAGTGAACAGCCCCTATTGAGTTAAATTTTTAAGTGAAATAACGGTTTTTGAGATTTTATAAAACAACGGTTTTTAAGAATTTAAATTTTTTCACCACAAAATGTGTCTGGGCTAAGTGGTGAAATTTTATCAAAAGCGATGTGCGATATTTGACTTTTGTATAAAAAAGCTAGTACAGCTAATTTGATCGTGTTACGCAAATTTAAATACAATTGATTACTCACCGATGTTACGAGATCTAAGCAAACGAATTGGAGTGTCTCAATATTGTCGACGAAAAACGGCTCAACGCCCAACGAGCTAGCATGGATGATTATTGTGTCAACAAAGTGGAATTTATTAAAAAGTCGCACAAAAAGTTTCGATAGCTCAACAATTTTCGTGTATAACATCGTAATTCCTTTTTGTTGATTGCTTTGCTTTTTCTTATTTTGAGCTTTTTCAGCCTTCTTCTTTGTCTCGATCGTATAGACAGGATCATACGACGGAAAGATTGTTTCGCGTAATTGAAATTGCACAAACTTAATGATAGCATCGATATTATCCTCTTGTAAAAATTTGGTGTCTTTTGATGTATAAATATTACATATAAGCAATGCAGCTTCAATGGCATTTAAAATTTTATCCAAACAATCCTCAGCGATTAGGTCATCCGCTGAATCTGGTCCAGCTGAGAAATTCTTAGCACTATGTACACTACGCATCGCATAGTTAATAAGAAGTGTTAATTTCTCTTCAGGAATGGCATCAATTGATGCTCGTGCTTTAAGTTTAGCTGCCTCAGCACTTATACTTGCAAGAAGTGACGGCGTAATGCACTCTGGATTATCATCACTTTCATCATAACTTATAATTTCTGTCTCATCTAATAGCTCAAAGATTTTCTCCATATAATTATTAAATCGAATATATGTATTGGTCTTCATAAGTTCCTCTGGAGTCATTTTTGCCGTTACTGGTGCTAATTTCTTCTCAATTCTCCTTAATTTTGGCTGATTAAATGTCTCTTTAACATCCTCTTCAGGAAATGGAACTTTTCGCTTTAATGGCGCTCGCTTATCATCCTCTTTCATCTTACTAAACAAATCAGATGCATTGAGATCCTCTAAACTTGCCAATACTTGTTGCTCTTCCTCTGCTGTCACTTTAACCTTCGATAATGGAATTATGAGTTGCTTAAAATTCATTGCATCTGCATCAGAGATATCAAACGTTTCCATTAATGTTGGCTGTTTTGTAGACGACGGCGATGCTTCAATCTTTATCTCATGACTCGTTGTAGCTGCTTCTGGTTGTTGTTGTTGCTGGGTTTTTGTAGTAATACTGTTTGTCTCCTTTAAGCTTTCATTCTCACTTTTCGGTTGCTGTACATTAAGATGATTCGTTTCAGGCGCTGTCGTTCCTTGTGCTGGCGATGGCCTTTGTTGTTGCTGTTGTTCCAAATATTCATTATTTCTTGGTGCTGTTTTTTGGTGCGTCACATCATTATTATTATTTGTCTTAGTACTCCTCAAATGCATATTATTAAATTGCTGTTGTTGTTGCTGTTGAATCGACGATGGTGCAATGTGATTATTCTTCGATTGAGGTATTTGATTTTCAGCGTTCTTCGTCATTGTCTGCGATTGCTGAGTATGATTGTTACCGGAAATGTAATGATTTTGATCTATCTTTACAGCTTGCTCTAGTTGATTTGTATTTATCGTGCTAAATGATGTTACTTCTTGTTGCTGTGATGATGCTGATGTGCAGACGGAAGACGTCATTTGCTGGAGATTACTGCTATTACTATTATTTTGATAAAAACCGGTGAGATTTTGTTGCTGGTGATTTAAACTATTAGATGATGTGGTATTGGTATCCAATAACTGTGCGATATTGTATGACTAAAATTAATTTTGGAAACGAAAAAAAATTGAGACGTGTAGTTATTAGGAAATAGAGTATCACTTGATCAAATAAAGTAATAAAAAATAAACAATCTATATACTTACAGACTGATGTGTCTGAATTGCTGGAATATGCTCTTGGCTATTATATATATTAGTTTGTTGATAATTTGTCGTCGGTTGATGTACTAGAAGATCATCAATTGTATGTTGATAAGTTGATGGACCATTATTCATATTCTGATTCGGTTGAGGGACCATCGATTGTCCATAATAATTTTGTTGATTCTGTTCTGCTGCTGTCGGCGTTGTCGTCGTCTGTTGATACATATTTTGTTGCTGCAAATGTCCTCCGGCTTGTGATTGTTCGAATTGATAGTGATTGGATGGATCAAAGTTATTAAAATTATTGGTGGAATTAAATGATGCATCGTAATGATTCACTTGCATCGGATTGGGATGTAATGAATAATTTTGAGTGAGATTTTGTTGTTGTGCATTTTCAAAATCAAGTGATGATGCAATGGGATTAACTAAAAAAATAAAAGACAACACACATACGGTTTTTGAACATAAAAATTAAGGAATTAAGGAACAAAAAAAAATTTTAAGGCAAGGCAAGCAGAAATGATTAAAGTTAATTAAGATCCAAAATAAATGCAAAAATGATGAAAAAGCAGCTATAAAGATGAGGTTTAAGCAATACGTGCAATTGTGTTGTGTTTGGCGTAATTTTTGGGGGGAATAGAATTAAGGGACATTGCTCTTACCGTATTTCTGATTATAAACATTACTATTAAACACATTTGGTCTCGAAGACTCGATCAATTTTAACATAAGCGGTGCCTCAATTGTATTTGATTCATCCTTACAGTACTCTGGCTTGATTTCACTAAAATTAGGTATGAATTAGGATCCAGTGAGTAATAAAAAGTAAATATTATGCCTTACATGTGATTAGAATTGGTCTGTTCAATAGCACTAATAAGTTGTTGTGCAAGAACATCGTCCCGTTGACTGAGAACGTTATTTGCTTCTTCAGCCACTCTCGGATGGAATAACAACGATTTGTTTTGTTGAGATGGTAAAGTATCAGACAATGGTAACTCGCTTAATACTATAAATGTATGAATTTAATTAGCTCACAATCACTTTTATACACTTATTTATGCTTACAATCTGATATACTGGTTAGTCCAGCTAAAGTTGTGACTGGGATGTCTAAGTTATTTTCGTTCATACTGAACAGTTTTCATTTTATTCTAAAAAGGAAAAGAAGAAATTCGATTATTTCATATAAAAAGTAAACTTTAATGGCTGCAAATGTAGAATTCGAGCATTACTGGCTAGATTGAACAGGAATAACACTTTTTTCTTGGTCAATTATTACAATGTTGTACAAAAAGCTTCGAGTTCTACTTTTCACTACTTTCTCAATCATACAAACAATTCAGGAATCTCGTAAAATTTCACATTTTTATTGCCTTTTAAGGCACTGGATGTGCTTTGTACAGTCAATGGTGATGAGTTCTATCGAGATATCACATTCATGACTTGTTTGGATGTCATTTTGCGCCAGAAAATTGCAAAAATAATTATAGCTTTAAAATTTTACCTCAGAATTGTAAATTATTTCCTTTTCATTCAAATTTTCTCATTTTCCCTTACGAATATCGATGAACCAAAGCTTTTATCTTATCCGTAATCAAATGTTTTACTAATTGAAACTTAATTAATTGTTTTAAATGCTCAATTTAACTTGTTTTCATTGAAATAATTGGTATATAATATTTTTGTATTTTTGTAGAATTTCAAATCTTAATGGCGGACCATTTTTGAATTTTTTTGCACCGTTATTCGTTGTGCAAATTTGGAATTGAAAAAATTTCTTTTATCTCTTTTTAGACACTTCTTTAGATCTTGAAACTCTTCAAACTGATCGTGATTATGTTCCTTTATCACCTGAAATTGAAATATTGAGTTAAATGTCTGTAAATAATGTGATTTCAGTCGAATCCTGAGTCAATCATGAAATTTTTTGAAGAAGTGAAGCTTGAACTTCCACGCTAGTGTTGTACAATATATTTCATATTGATAAACAGCTTACAGTTTAGAGTTATATGGCAGGCATCACGTTTATAGATAGATTTGAGGTAGTAATTTCAAAAAAGGTATGTAATCCTCAGATTATGCCCTGTACTCGATTATAATATTTAAATTGTGATATACCGTTATATTGCTGCTGCTCCTATCTTCTGTAAGGAACGAGCTGGATGCATTAATGCTGAAGAATTTCATGTGGATTAACAAATAAGTGCAACTGAATTCAAACTTTATATCTTTAAGCAATAAGGATCCAGTCAACAGTATCAATCAAAAAGACAGGCATTTACTGCAGTTTAGCACGGAAGTGATGAAAAAAAGTAAATAGAACATCCAGTTGAACTATATTTAACAATAATTAAGGAACGAATGTGCTGAATATCATCGAATATCATTAATCATCATTATTTAATCGAGATCCAAAACATTAGATAATTAAATTAAGGTATATTTATCAATCAATATTGTTTTGGACACACTGACGTGGTTCTATTGTGAAATTTCTTCAAGTCATCGTTTGTTTATATTAAATAGTGTCCACAAAAATGTCTGAATTCTCATCATGGTATAACACAATACCTAAATTTACAAGGTACTGGCTAACAGCAACAGTTGGATTTTCGCTAGGTGCTAAGTTGGGAATCGTACCGACTTATTATCTATTTTTGGAAAGTTCATTAATCCTACAAAAGTTTCAAGTAAGTCTTTTACAGTAAAAAATTAACATCCAGTTCATTATTCTTGTCTTATTTACAGCTATGGAGAATCGTAACAGCTTTATTCTTCTATCCAACATCATTTCACTTCCTTATGAACTGCTTTTTCCTGTACAATTACTCATCTCGGCTAGAAAAGGATCATTATTTGGCTAGTCCTGGCGATTTCCTATATTTGTTAATATTCAACTGGCTATGCTGTGTGATCGTTGGACTTTTTACAGCGCTTCCTGTAAGTTGCACTTTTTCCTTTAATGTTGATTGTTACTAACTTATGAAATATTGCTAGGTTTTAATGGATCCAATGGTTCTTTCGGTGCTTTATGTCTGGTGTCAGCTTAATCGAGAAGTAATTGTCACATTTTGGTTTGGATCCAGATTTAAAGCTATGTACTTACCATGGGTGCTATTTGCCTTCAATGTCATGCTTTCCAACGGTGGAATGATGTCTCTTTTCGGAATCCTAATTGGTCATCTCTATTTCTTCTTGAAATTCACTTATCCACAAGAACTTGGTGGATCAAATTTCCTTGAAACTCCATCATTTATCAAGCGACGCTATCCAGACGTTCGACCTGCTGGAGTTTTCGGATTTGCACCAGAAACAAGAGCACAACAGCAACAGCAACAAAGACAACAAGGGTTTAATATTTTTGGTGGATCAGGAAACAGATTGGGAAACTAAGACAGCACGTTAAGCATATAAATTGTATAACATCCTTCGATTCCTAGATATATCCTGTTAATATGTAATATTTTTTAAACAACCATTAAACGATTCCTTGAAACAATTTTAATGGCAATTTGGTTCTTGTTCTTGTTGTGTTGGGGATGCATGAGATTTCCTGATGATTCTTTCAAGATCTTTGTAATTCATTAACAACAGTCAACAGCTGTGTAACTCGACTTGTTCCATTTTCAATTTCATTGCAAACTTAAATTGCTTGTAACGGTTGTTTTAAGTTTAAACATATCGGAACATAGTGCGAGTACCAAAAAAAATACAATTTTATTTCTTTTAACTATTTTATTAATTAATTTAACTTTCTGATTGATTAAAATGTGCGATATTGGTCCAGAAGTGAAGGAGGAATTGCGAAAATTTCGATTCGCAAAAAATAATGAAAGTTCAGCGTTGATTTGTAAGTTTATTAAGGAAATTAAGTTAAATTGACAAAGAATTGAATTAAGTTTATTAAAACATACAGTAAAAGTAGACAGAGAGAAGCAGGAAATCGTGATTGATGAGTATATGGAGTCTGTTACGGTCGAAGAGTTACAGGTACAATAAATGATAATTGGCAATAAAAGATGTTTTAATTAAATTCATGAATATTTTTTGTTGTTATAGGAACAACTCCCGTCGCATCAACCTCGATTTATTGTGTACGCATACAAGATGATTCATGACGATCGTGTATCGTATCCATTATGTTTTATATTCTATACGCCTCTTGATAGTCAAGTAAGATTGCTTATTTCCTATAGCTAGACAGGATGAGTCATCGACTATAATTAAATAATCATTCTGTCCCAATTTTAGATGGAACTACAAATGCTATATGCTCGAAGCAAATTGCCACTTCAAAAGCAAGCGGATCTAACACGATCGTACGAAATCAGGGAAATTGAGGATTTTACTGAAGAATGGCTGATCGGAAAGCTATCAAAATAAGTTAATAAGAGGCCAAATAATGCTAATTATTGCTCAAGCTCTTGCCATGAATTGATTTTGCTCGTCCAACACATGAATTTAAAATCAAATTAGAGAATCGATACCAAATTTCTTTTTCTTTTAAATTATTTTAAAATATTTTTTGCGAAGAGAAACAAATTTTTTAATCGATTAAGTGATTAAATAAGGAACTGCCTGCTGCTGCTGGCGATAGCTGATATCTTTTATATATTAAAAACTCTTATATACTTTTTACTTTTTTCTACATTCTGAATGCTAACTTACGAATATAATAATGACACAAAAGAAACCTTTTTCGGATAATCATTGGTACAAGATTTATTAAACTTAGACATTAAGGCATTTTTGAAACGAAAGAACATTTTTCATTTTTATTTTTAAATACTGAAAATTTTTACACAAAATTCCATTAAATGACAAAACAAAAATTATAACATTTGTGACAAAAATAAGCAATTCCTTTACATTAATTTCCACTCATTTCACGTGATTGTGATATGAACCTTAATTTTAAAATTGCATAGCTATGATAATTACTATAACATGCAAAAGAGCTCAAATTTTTTAACTTTCGTGTACTGTAAGATACTTTTTGAGATATTTTGAATTATCTTTCGGACATTCTTTCTTATTTGAGATTATGTGGGTTTGGTGACATTCTTGTTGACTCTAATCAACCTAGATCTAAGCTTGATTTCTTTCTTGAAGCACAGATCTTGATTTTTGATGATTAGAATAGTTTGTAAAGATGTCGAGATGGAAGTGTGCCTATTGCAAGTTCAACACAATTGATGAATAAGTTCAAGCATCATCAAATTAAATCATCGACAAATACCACAAAATCCAGATCATCAACCCACATCCAAAATTAAAATCAAGGCTTACACACTAAGGAAACTTCCGGACTTTCTATATTGAGCATCTTAATGCAAAATCTTAAAATTGATCCACAGAAGTTGCCTAAGCGTCTACGCCTTGTTAAAACTTCCACAAAATTTAATATTCATAAAACCATTCTCAGTACGTGTTTAAGTGTACGTATTTTAATTAAGCATTGAACTCTTTTTACACATATACATTTTATCATAAGATTAACCAGAATAAAGTTCACAGCGGAAGCAAAAACAAAAGTTAAACCATTTAGCAATTAAAAATTGATGTGTTTTTAATGATGAATAAGTTTTTTTTTATAAAAAAAAGGTAAAGTAAAGGTTGATGATTGTCTTGGTATGAAGACAATGTTAAATAGATCAGCTGCTGTTATCCTTATTTCTCTTTTTGATGATTATTTGGATGTCTTGATGATGATTTTGAATGTTATAGAAAAATCGCACGTCGAGTTTTTTTTTTGGTTTCATTATCGTTAATTTATGTTGCGATAAGCGATGAGATCATACTAAAAATGGTTTTTGAGAGATTTTATTAAGTTATCTTGAATTATGTTTCGTCACATTTGTTGACTACTCACCCGTATAGATAATAAAAGAACGACAATAAGTAAACTCCTAGCTTTATCCAACCTTCCTTCATGCATTTTGATAGTGTATCACTATTCATTATGTTTGTTGGATCATAAAGGCCTGGACCGCTCATTCCTTGAGGTCGGTTCTTATATCTCCAGATATGATAGCCAATTAAAGGCAAATTCTACAAATATAATTTAATTAAGTAAATAGAAACTTTTTTATCAGTAGATAACACATTTGGAGCATGAACTACAATCAACTGGATGTAAAACCACAATGGTTTACATTACACAATATCGATTACTGTAATTAGAGCCGCAAAAGTGTGAGAAATGGCAAAAACTCACCAAACAAAGGCTGAACCATTCACCAGCAATGAGAAAGATGATATTTATAAGCAGATGAAGAGCATATTCAGGCAGAACTAATGGATTTAGGCTATTACACGAGTCTATTGGATTCCTGTAAAGCGGAAATTAAAGCAATTAAAAACTTTTATCGTGATTTGCTGGATCTTTATATTCTAGTCAAATACTATATTCGGAAATTACTGGATCGTTCAATCATGTCCAGGAATTGATTAAGACCTTACTGAATCTTGTAATAACGATATAATCGTAACTTAGACCCAAAATATTATTAATTTTGCAACTTACTTGTAATCCGTTTTTAATTCATCGAAACTAATTGTGTGAAAAATTGAAAAGAAGATGAGAAATGCATCGCCGATTAATGCTACTATATATGAGGCCGCAGAGAAGCTAAAACCCATTTTTCCTTAATTAAACTTTATTTTTCTCTCAAATTCTTTTTTCTACTCAAAACAATAATATAATTCTGAATATTTGTTTGTCATGCCGTGGTGAGGTTCTAGTGCAGTTTGAATTTTCAAAAACCGTTAATTTTACCCAAAAATTTGTGTTGAGCAGGATGATGACTTGAAATTGAACAATAAGGTTTAAACTACGTAATTTTCTGGAAAATTAAGATTTTATTTTAATTCAAATAATTCAGCGATACCCCCCCCCCCCCCCCCCCCTCTGAAGCAGATTTCTTAGATTTAAACAATTTTGTTCTGAAATAGAAATTTACATCAACTCAAAAAGCGAAGAACAGCATTAAAACAATAGATTTTCATTCTTCATAATCCAAATTAAATTATTTTTTATTTTCTTACATTTTGTTTTACATTTAATTAAATTTAATATTTTTATTTATATCACCAATCAAATCATTTACAAATGATAACTTTTTTGACAATCTTACAGTTCTATATAGGTAGGTAACAACATAAAAATAAATTATGCATATCTTAACTTAATTACTTAATTTAATTAACATAAAAAGGATATTTTTTTTTCTAATGTGATGTTATTTAATATTCGGACATATAAAATGCGATAATTTGTATCAAAAAATTTCTATTTTGGGGTGTATGTGTATACAAGAATCTATAAAAATCAGCTATTTTTTTTATAATTTAAAGGCACTGCAAATGTTGACCAGAAAACTCAACTCTTTCTATCAAATTTAGTGCATTTCAATATTTTTTCCATCACATTTTGATGACTCTTTCTTCATTATCTACAAATTTAATATCTAGTTCCCTTAAATCTATCAAATTTGAATTTTTTCAAAATTCCAACAAATTTGAAATGATATCAAAAAAATTAATATTGAGATCAAAATCGTCAACAAAACATTTTGAGATCTTCGGCATGTCTACAACAAAAGTTTTTAATATTTTTAAGGCAAATAAACTGGAATGAAATTTATTAAACTGCAGAAAATTTCCATATATAATTATATTTTAAAACCTTGAAGGATAAAGAGCCGTGGAAAATGAAGCAAAATTTAAAATTTTTGAACAAAGTTTGTAAGGTGATTTTATTTTAAATTATGAATTTCTTTGTTGAGATTTTTAAGAAATGAAAATTTAAACCTTCTTTTTTTGAAAATCATGAGCATTCTGTGAAACAGAAACCTTGATTAAGTTTAATTGTCAAATGTAAATTCCAAGTGAAATGGTCTTTAGATAACTTAGATTAGGATTACTAAGCTGGACTCGACTTCAGGTAATATTCTTTATTTAAGATTTGATCGCGTATAGATTTTGTTAAACATTCATTTGAGATCGACCGTATTTTCAGATTTTGAAGAATCAGGTTAAACCACCAGAAGAGATGAATCATAAAACCAACTTTATCTCTCATCGTAAAGAACATAAATTGTTTCAGTTTTAAATTGAAAAATCTATTGCCACACCCCTAAACCTTCTTTTTTATACTGAAACCCATCGAAACTTCAATCTAAATTACTGATCGAGAACAATTCAAGATCCTTCATAAAATTCAAAATAAGTCATTAAAACAATTAATATTAATCAAATCCAAATTTAAATACCAAAACTCAACCCAAAAGCTATAAATACTTCCAAAATGAAGTTTTAAACTCTTTTTGGAATTTGCTGTCTCATGTCACGTAGAATAAATTTATTTTTACGTCTGTTTCAACACATACTTTAAGTACAACTGTTTAAATAGGCTTATTACCAAATGAACTACTTATTTCAGAATATGAGACACCTCTGGTATTATGAAAAATATTTCAAAACAACATCTCAGATCAGTGTGAGTTGAATTCTCAGCAAAATGACAAATTTTTCCCCATTTTTCAGTATTTTGAAGTGCCAACGCTCGTGACAAAGTTAATTTTTGTTAATACATTGTCCTTTATACTCCACATGTCATGCCTACATGACAGCACGATAAAATTTATATTTTATTTTATTTTCGAAAGTGTCAGGAAAAAAGCTTTTTAGTGATCTATTGTTAATGGATATGGATTAATATTTCCATAAGTTTCAGTCAATTTATTAAGGCTTTAAATGAACTTTTGATTTGATTTTAATGAGTTGAACAAATTAATTTTATAATATCAAACTAAATTATCCGTTTTTTGGTCACTTCACAGCTTAATTATTTAAAGGTATACAATTCACTAGACTTTGTAGCGTGCTGAAAAATTTATTGGGTAAAATAGAATTATCAAAGAAAAAGAAGAAAAAAAGTTTCTGGATGATTTTTTGAAGTTTGAAGAAATTTTCGTCAAGTTGTTGAACTTTCTTGTTTAACAATTTAGGAAGGATCATTAGAATTGATAAACTTGAAACAACATTCAAATAGTTGGATTTGTATTTTGGGATATCTAAAAGGTAATTAAACCTTTTTTTTTAAATTTGTGTTTACTATCGATTCTTGAAAATTTTGATCTCATTCAATTCTGAAATTCTAAAAACTTGTTTAAAAGTTCCTTTTATTAATTTTAAATATTGTCAAGTCCAAATATATATATATATATATATATATATATATATATAATTTGATCAGATCAAATCAGAGTAAAAGTATAAATATACATTCTGTCAAACTTTTTCACAATTCCTAATAAGTTAATGATAAAAGGCTTGCAACTGAAACTGTAAGACCGTAATTTAGGTTCCTCTGTTCTCAAACTATCTGTTCAAATAAAATCTTGACAAAAATTTCCTAGAAGTTTCTAATCTGAATGAAATATTTCTTATAAAGTTCCAAAGTCAAATAAATTCAGCAATAAATATCTCGTTCCTTAACATTTCCTATTCCTTCTACACTATCGTTGGTGGACATATCATTAAATAATTTATTGAATATAAATATCAAAAAAGCAACAATTCCAAACTCGTGTAAGAAAACATTCAATTCTAATAAAAAATTATTAACATGCTTGTAAGTTACATGCTTATTTTTTTATGTCCAATTCGGAGAAGTTTCTGTACAGTTAAAATAAAAGTTCTTGTTCAGCAGTTAAAGATTGTTCCCACGATTTTCTTTTAAAAGCTTTTGGACGAAAAAATATTGAAATTAATAATTTATTTGGGTTTATTGGGAAATAATATTCAAAATGTTTAATTATTTATGAAAGAAATTTTGGATTATAAGTGTGTGTCTTTATGAATTGTTTTATGAGAATTAGAATTTGAATATTCAATTCTTTTTGGGGATTGGCTTTGTCTATATAAGACGTAAAGCAAATCATAGAATTCAAATTCCACATGCTTTAGTGTTCTTTGATCATTTGTCAATTGCTTTGGATCTTTATCAATTTTGATAGTTATGCTAGAAAGTTGAAAGTCAGCAAAGGAGCCCGCTATAGATGAAAATTATAGCATTTCGTCGATATCCTTTATTTATCGACTTCGGTTCAATTTGTTAACTTTGTGAATAAAGTCTGAATTTAATTCATTGATTCTTGACTCATCTTCTGCTAAAACTAATAAACCAATCCACAAGGAACTCGTCAGATCAATCTTGGAATAAAACTCACATTTCAATAGTTCTCATAAGCAAATATTTACTCAAAAACTGAAAAATTCCTGTTTTTTGTGAATGAACGTGATGAACACAAAGTCCAAACCAAAACTGCGAGGATTCTTCAAAAGAAATGAATGATTGATTTTCAATAAACTGCGGCAAAGACTCAAGCATAAATTTTTTTATTTAAAAGCTATTCCATCATTTTTTACATCCCACACACATTTATTTACAAGTAGGAACAAGTCAAACACGTCATGAACAAGAACTTTCGTTAAAAATATTTCTTTGCACATTTCCCAGAACGACAATACAACAATTTGCCATTTGTGTTTATTAATCTACAGTAATAAAATTTTTCATACTTAATTTTACTAAATAAATAAATATTCAATTTTTTTGTATATAAATATTTATCTCCTCAAATATGTAATTGTCTTTAGATATATTTTCAATTAATCAATAAAATTATATCAATGTGTATTTAATTAAACAACACACATAATCAATACAGGCTTGATGAGTCAATAGGTTATAAATATTTCATGAATTCTCTTCGATTAGTAACGTTGAATTAATTTGTAAATGTTGTGTGATAGTAGAAAGGTAGCTAGGGACATCAAAGCATATAATGAAGTTTAAGAATATAAGTTTGATTCTCAGTAGAATTTGAAATTGGTTTCTTGGTTCATCCGGATACCTAGTCTGTTGAATTCAAGAAGTATAGTTCACTGGATTACTTTTGAAACCTACTACTGATGTTCTTCTTTTGACGTTTTAAGACAGTTTTGATTTAACTTAAAATAAAGTTTATCAGATCATCTTAACCTTGAGCATGACTAGAGGATTTAAATAGTCGAAATCTCTGTTTTGATAAATTTCTTCAATTGGCAATGCTTTTTAACATCCCAAAAACAAATTATTTGTACATTAAACTTTACTCAACCTTACAAAATTCTAGTAAATCCAATATTTATACTCAAAAAACTTATAACCTTGATGACTCATCACTTACTGTACATGCACGTTTGCACTATTTTCGTAATAAAATATTCAATTGTACTTTTTTACCAAATCATCAACCTTCTCCTCGCGTTCGATGCGAACAATTGGTCTAACTTTTAATTTAACATCCAAGTCTTTATCGTATATCTTATAGCTGGGTAAAATTAATCTACGAGCTTCGGAATGCTTATTGTTTTGGTCTTTTCGGTAATGATCATGTCGATTAGAATTATGATAATTATTTCTTGAGGATGACTTTTCATCACGTTGTTCAGTGCTGTAATTGTTATGATGTCGACTTCTACTGCGACTCCTGCTTCTTCGTCGTCGATCTTTGTTGTTTCTCTCATTATATCGATCATTGTTGTAAGAATGATTAAGGCTGGAATGATTTCGTGATGATGAGACTCGATGGTCTGATTTATATGAATGCTTATCGTGGCCATTGCTGCTCACTTCAGACTCATTTTCTGCCTTTTTTCGATAGAAATTATTGATGTTTAAAAGACTTTCGTCAAAGCTCATTTTACGCTTCTTCATAAAATTATTATTGACATTGAGTTCCTTAACATCGCATTGATTGCTGACACTTTGGACAGTCTCCATCCGTTCAATTTTATATTCGTTAATTGAGGGAAAAACAGTTGGTAATTTTGGGAAATTTCTCATATCCGTTTGACCATTTAAGTTTCCATTTATCAAAGATTTCGGTGGCAATTCCGTCGATTCTTCACAATTAGAACCTTTAATTACATCCACATGCTGATTATTATAATTTTTGGCAATGATTTGAGATTCAATTTCCATAATTTTCTCGTGTTCATCAATTTCTTCATTTGAACTCGATGATGAGCTTGTTGACGATGACGTGGAACTAGAGGAACTAGATGAACTAGACGAAGATGAGGATGACGACGACATGGATGCTGTCGACAATGGGGATGATGTATTTTCAATATTAATATCACAGCTTAGTTTTCTCAACTTATATAAAGCACAACGTGCCTGCTGTATGAGTGAATGTATGCGTTCCTTACGCTGTGCATTACGGAATCGATGAACTCGTTGATAACTCAAGGATTTTCTCATAATACGATTAATTGTTCGCGTTGCCTGCCTCACATCAGAACGATTAAGGTACTTATGTCGAAGAATCTCATAAATCTTCTTTATTTTCCCATCACTGTTATTATTTACCGATATGATTTCCTCATACTGTACATTTGATTGAAAAAGCTCATCGCCTGCGATATAAGGCATGTACGACATGTCATCAACGATATTATCAGTTATTGAGAATTCGCCCATTGTTATGTTCTTATTGTATACATTGCTATTGTTATTATCATCATCATCATCATGTAAGGCACCAATTGCACGAAATATTTCATCATCATCATCTATATTGGCCACACGTTGTATATTCTTTAATATCTCCGATTTCTCATGAGGATTGAGCGTATCGGATTCAAAAAGTTCACTGACATTTCCAGAATTTTCCTCAACAATATAAATTGGTTCGCCGTCGGCATTCATTTCACTACTTTGTATGGCTTCATTTAATGTATAAATGTTGCCATCGCTGTTACTTTCGATATTAATGAAAATGTTTGATGCACTCAGCACGTCCTTACATATGTCTTGGAGTTTTGGTATGTTCGACACTTCCTCAATGTGAAAATATTGTCGATTATTGTAAATATAATTTTCGCACATGTCCACCAATGTAGGCGGTGTAAAAAGATCCACAACACTCACATTCATGTCGGATAGAATTTCTTTACATAATTCCTTTAGTGATGGAACTAAGCGTTGCGTTTCATACATTTCCTCTTCACTTCCATCAAGCTCAAGAAGTTTTGATTTATCGTCCAATAATCTTCCGCACATCTCACGCAGGGAATTAACTTGAACGGAATGATTGGATTTTTGATTGACTAATGACGTTGGCTTCTTCATGCTGTCAAAATTGAACTTTTTCTTGAAATCATTGAGGACTTTCATTTTTGAGAACTTTTTACTTATTGACAGCTGCTCGCGTGCATAATTCCTGTATGTGCTAGTGTTGAGGAAGTCAATGCATATTGACTGAAGTCTTTTTACGGAACTTGCATGTTGATTCAGCGAATATTTTCGTACACGTTTTGTAATTCTTGTTTTTCGAAGATCTTTGGAGACTTTGAGAATTTTTTCTTTCTTCAGTTTCAATATCGATTGCTTTATTTTTGGAACTTTTACTTCCATTTTCTTGAGCTTCGGTGACTTTAAAGGTTTCTTCTTTTTCTCTTCACATTCTTGCTCTTGTTGTAGCACTGCTTTAACATCAACTTGACTCTCTTGCTTTATTGTTGTTGATTTTAATGCCATTTCAGCAGCTACAACCTTTTCTGCTTCTTCATCTGATTCCGTTTTAATTTCGACTGTTGGAATTTCATGAATCTCATCGACTTTCGTTATCTTCGGCTCTTGACACGCCTCAAATTCTAATTCAAATTCACTCTTGTATAATTTCTCACGATTCATTTCCATATCAGTAAATAGTTCCTTATCAGTAATGACTACATTTTCGGGTAATTTATTGATAATACTTAAATGTTTATATTTATTTAATTCCGATATCGGTACATCAATTGTTTCGAGGACATAAAGCTTTTCGGTACCCTCACTAATGGCGCCATTCTCTAAGTCCAATCGTGATTTATCATTTGTAGGCACATCGGTAGTACTTATAATATTATCAGTAGCTTTCTGTACAAACATTGGATTATATTCACGCATTATTTTACGCTCCATGTGCTCGATGCCATTCATACTTTCCATCAGTCCATGCGATGGATGAGTCGCCTCCTCCTCCTCATCAATTTCATTCCATGTTGAGAGAAAATCTCGTAGATTGATATTTGGAATTTTATCGCTATCATTCTGTCCAACAACAACATTACCCCTTGTTGCACGATGATATGGATAGTAGGCGGGATGCTGATAATGGAGATCATAGCCATATGGTGTTGTATCACGAATCTTTGGAATTTTTGAACTATTTATTTGCTCTTCGAGATCAATTGAAATTTTCATTTTGTCAGCATGCTTCATTGACATTGACGGGTGATGATATTGTGGTGGACCATAATGCTGTGATGATGTCATATGAGATGGCGGATGGGGTGGTTCAAAATGATTATAAGTCTTAAACTGCTTTGGATTTAAAAGGGGATTTTTTGGTACTTTCGATGGCATTTCACCATTTTTATAGCGATAATTGCACGGTTGATAGTCACATGAACTCAAACTTTCAGCAGACGGCATTGGATATGCACTGGCTGGATTATAATGTTTTGGTGGTGGTAACTGTTGATATCCTGCATTTCTCATAACATTTCCATTCTGTTGATGATGTTGCAGCGTGTGATGAGGAAGATGATGGTCTCCATAAATAGACGATCCATTCATACCATTCGGATTGTACATGTCGTTAGCACTGATTTTATGACCACTTGTTGATTTCTTAGCACACGAATTCAATGAACGATTCATTGGATCATCGTGATGTGGATAAGGATGTTGATAATAATGATTATCCGTATAGTAATCTTTTTTCGTTGCATAGCTTGATGTCGTGCCATGTGGCGGCATTGGAAATGTGCTATGATCAACAGGTGAAAGTGCCATTGCGCCTGTCTTGTTGTAATTTGACGAAGATTTCGAGCAGCTCTCGTTTCTCATCGTTGGTCCAACATATGATTGCATTTGTGGTGTTGGATATGTGGAATAAGGAGGTATTGATGGATGATTATAGTTAGTATTATAATAATTTCCATAATTATTCGGCGGGACAGGATGCGGTGTAGGAATACTGTGATGATATGGATGTAGTGATGTTGATCGAGCATAATTTACTCTCCCACTATTATGCATGAGAGAATCTTCAAGTGACGGTGCACCGTAATGTGATTGACCAGGATAATGAGGGACAGAATTTCTTGTAGGTTGAGCAGGAATTCGACTATACAATTCATAGCCATGAGGCGCTGTTGGTGATATTTTTGGTGGAATTCCATTACTTGATGGATTCGGTTGATACATGTGAAAATTATTTGTCCCATGTGGTGGCAAATGATTTACAGTCGATGGATGTAGTTGATATTGTGATGTTGGATAATCAGCCGTTCCTTTATAGTAACTTCCACTCGGTCGATTTGACGATGCTGTTGGATATTTAAGCGGATTTTTAGCCTCAAAATTGTTGATTATTTTTGCTGCGGACAGCGATTCTGAATATTCAGCAAATAAATCAATTGAGGAATGAGGATCTGTGATAAGTGTATTACCTGCTGATGGCATATAGGCACCATTATTCATTGACTGATGATGTGAATGGCCATGATAAAGTCCCGTGGAACTAGATGACACACCCCCAACACCTAAGTTAATGACATTTGAAGCGCCCATACTCTTCGATGCACCCATATTAGGATCCAGAATTGTACTACTGCTACTACTTTGCGTTTGAGATTGCACAGACGACTCATAAATCGTGTGCTGTCCCTGACTATTTCCACTGTTGTTATTCGTACTATTCGTATTTAAATTTGTCGTTTGATAGCCGTAGAAATTTTGTGATGTTGCCGTCACGGTGTCAGTTGGCATACTAGTCGTTGAATTGAGATTATTATTTGTAAAGTTTATAATTGTTTCACCGTTCTTGTTTATCTGATGGTATTGATTACCACCAAAAATGTCACCGTTATTGACCAAATTTGCCGGATTGTTGATATTATTCACAATATTTGTATTAATGTTATTTATATTATACGTTATATTACTATCCCCACTGCTACCTCCACCAACAATATTCGGTCCCGTTTCCTTACGAACGTATCCAATAAAATTATTTTTCTGATTATTATTATTATTTTGTTGTATATTGCCAGTATTCGGTGGTATTGATGCACATGCTGCTGCTGCTGCTTGTGTCGCATCAAAAAGTCCATCGTCGTGCGGAAAAAATATATTATTATTACAATTGTTTATATTTATTTGCGTTTGTGGCAATGACGACGTGGACTTTGCCGAATGGTGGGGCGTTGATGTTGTATGATTAAGATCAGGGATAGCTTGTTGCTGATAAATATTACTCGTTGATTGCTGATATTTAAAATTATTTAATGAGGGTAATGTTGGACAACTCGTATCGCTGAAACTATTACTATTCGTGCCAATATTCGTGAGACTATTCAAACTATCTAAATCTGCATAAAATCCATTGTGATCCATGACTTTAAGTCTGATTCAATACAAAATTGTTGTCGAAGTAAGTCTATGAGGAAGAAAATAAATATATGCAAATTAATTAAAATCAGTCAATTTTTTGAGCCTAAAATTATTCAATTGAATAATAATGAATCAGTTATTATTCATATTATTTAATAGAAGCGACAAGCTTTTTTGTCAACTTATGGTAATTTTTATATTCAAGCAACTTCATCTTCTCTTTTAGCATTCTTTCGAGTTGGTTGCAATTAAAGTTTATTGTGGTAGGTAAAGAATTTTTTTTTGAGGAACTCAAGTTTGGGTTTTTGGAAGGGTTGAGAAAAATAAATAATAAAAGACTTAAGTCAGTCAATTCATGAATTAATTAAATAAGTGTGACAAATTAAAATAATTGTGTGGCTACTCTTAGGAATTATTCTTTATTTATAAGTGGAAAAATTGTAATTATGTCAAAAGCAATTACTGTAAATTATCCACATCAAATTAATCAAAAGTTTTGAATCAAAAGTATGATTTAAATCTAAAATTGTTTTAAATCTGATTGAGTAAACTTTGAATTTAAACTTTAATCACATTCTGTTACAGTTTTTAAATCACAATCAGTTTTTTGTTTTGTTTTAAAATTGTGAAAGTTTCAGGACAAAAAGTTTTAAGGATAATATTTTGAGTGGAGTTGAACAATTGTTAATTATTGTTTTATTGAACAAGATGTAGGTGAATGAGTTCAAAGATAGCTCTAGTGAAGATTTTCCAGGTAAGTTTTTCTTTAACCAATACTGACTTTAATAGAGTCAGCTAGAATCTTGTTCAAAAATTCATTTTCTTAATTCTTTAAAGTTCATCTCAGTTCATCTAAAGTAAATCACAATTTTGATTCAAACATTTAAGCAGAGCTAAAAGTCGATTGTTTTTTGAGTCGTTTCAGATTCGAATTAAGTTGTTCGATTTTTTGAGTCAAATGCATTTAAAGTTCTATTCTAAAGACCTATCATAAATATGATTTATTTAAAAACAATTCAATTTGAAGTACGCACTAGCATCATATGATGTATACTTTCATTTTCAATTAAAAACTCTTAAAATAGAATTTATTTCAACTTTTCCAAAATGCCAACAGAACCATTAACCTTTCAAAATATATCACAGAAACGTTCTTCATGGAATAATACTAAAAATTGTCACAGAACAGCCTTTTTATGAGCCATTTATTCACATCATCGAAAATGTCCATTAAATTTTATTTCATGTCATTATTTTCCTTCCAAATATGTTCAACACTTTTCTTCCGTTGTCTATGACAGTGAAAAACATTTGGTAAATCACAGCAAAAAAAAAACAAAATTGATAATCTTCAAGCCCCTCTTCAAAGGCAATAAAAATTAATAATGCGCAACGTGTTTAAAAAAATTTATTATTATTTTTTTACCCATTTTTTCGTCTCAATTTAAACTGTACGTCGTGTTATTTCCTTTGTAAAACTAGAAATGAAACATGTTTAATTGAAATGAAAAAATATGTTGTTCACTTGCTGTCATTATTGAGCTGCGAGTGGAGCTTTTTTTTTATTCTCCCCTCTGTCATTTTATTCCTTTCATTGTTATGGAAAGTGCTTTCATGGACATTTGATTGTCGAATGAATGTCTACTTATAAAAAAATATATGCTTTATAAAAAGCGAGAAAATGGAGAGAACGCTGAGAGAGTTTAGAGGAACTCGAACGCATTTGATTGAAATAAAAAGGGAATGTTGTGTGAAAGACATCCTTTTGGGTTGGTTGGAGATCGCGCATTTATTAGGATTTCTTTGCTTTGTCTAGCTTTATTAAATTGCATTAAAAGTAAGTTGACTAGGTTCTTTCCTTATAAAGTCTAGTTTGCATCCTCACACCCACAAACACGAGGACAAAGCGAAGACACATTTAATTCCAAAACCAATTCAACTATGAAACAATAATAATGATTTGTCGTGTTTGTTGGCTTTTTGATAAAATATTCATTGGGGAAACCATTTCGTCCTGTAGTGCAATCGTATGAGAATGTAAAAAAAAATCTTGAATATGAAAAATTGCTGTGCACATTAAAGTGAGAGAGATATTGCATGGAATGACTTATGTGCCTTGTGTAATTTTACATGCCATTTACACAAAATCGTTGCTGCTGCCCTATTTATCATCAATGACAGATGTTCTACTGACACAGAAATACGAAAATGGATTTTTCATCGGAAAAGCAATTTGCTTCGATATCCCTTTTCACTTTTTATAGTGTTCTGGAACGCACTTTAAGCAGGAACGGTGTGGGTGTTGTGTAGTAAGGATATTCAATTTTTTTGATGCAAAAATAAATTCATAAATTGAACAAATAAATTTAAACAAATCCTATTAAGCGTAACGAACCATTACCAGAATTTCCTGAACAGCACGAAATGCCACAGTTCAAAAAACTAAACTCCCAAGAACAATCAAGTTTCAATAAGAGAAAATTAATTTTCCACGATTCTGTTTAGACAAGCTAGATGTCAACTTCAAGTCCAACTCATTCGCTTTTTATGAAAATTAATCATTTTAATGAAAATATTTTTTTTTCTCGATATGATCTTAATTACACCGCACTATTTAAAATATTCATAAACAAATGGTGTTTGCATTATCAATATTTGTATTAATTTCATTGAATATTCAACTTGACAACTGTCAGTTTTTTCCATAAATTATTCCTAACATATCACAAGTGAAAAATAGTTGTACTTAAATTCTGTTTTTGTTGCTGTTGGTTGTGAAAACATGTTTTCTAATTTAACAGATGTTGAACTAGTGTTATTGTGAGGAAATCTGATCTTTTTCATGGTAACTGGTGAAATATTGATTTTTGATAATGAAGTTTGGTTGGAACTCATAAAATTAGTTCAATAAAATTGGAACAGTTGTATTGTGTTTGAGTTTTGAAAGGTTTTATTGAGTTGGAATGAATTTGTTTGATGGAAAATTTTCAGTTTTGTATTTTCACCATTTGAAAGATAATGAAAAGGTTTTAAAGTTTTAAGTTGCAATTTGCTAATCGATTAATATTTTTAAAGACTCATCTTAAACATTACCTCAGAATATTCCTGAATATTTATTCCGATCCAAACTTCATTCTCATCGAAGCTTTTATAAACAAATTTATTCACAACACTCAATTCAATAGACAACATTGAACTAAAGTTTCGATCAATTCAAATCAAAGTCAATAAAAATCTTTATCAGATGCAATAGCAAATCAATCTTTCATTAAATCATCCAATTATTCAATTTTGTAACTTTATGAAAATTTGTCACGAACTTTTCACATTATTTACCTCGATCATTTAGGTAGAATAAACGGTAGTGCACAAAGCAAACCTATAATCATTCAATAAAAGCTTCGTTAACAAGCTTTTTTGAAATGAAAACTTATTAAAAATTAATTATAGCGCTTTGAAATTGCAATTACGAAGTTAATTAATTGTTTGTTTATTTCATGGGTGAATTTTCAGGTTTATAAGGTTAAGGTTTTGGCTGGACTAGAGTAACTTGACTACCTTAATGCACAAAAGAATGGAAGATTTTGGCTGGACTAGAGTAACTTGACTACCTTAATACACGAAAGAATGGAAGATTGAGTGTTAATCTCTTAAACAAACGAAAGTTCTTATAAGATCAATTGAAAAGTTCTGCAAACTTTCTTGATTTAAAGTTTAATTCTAGAATCTCTTTAAGCTTTAATTTTTCAGGACTTTTAATTATTAAAATGTCCATCTCGAACTTTTTAATTTTTTAAAGCATATTTTAATACATCTAGTCATTAAAGCTATCATTACTTTACTCCATGAATATATTTACAGCAATTTCATATTGTTTTTTTTTCTGTTTTTCCATTTTATCATTATACCAGCGACTTACATTATCATTATTGACTATCTCAAACTCTCCGAATTTCCGTATCTACTCAGTAATGGTGAAAATTTTCATTTCCATTTGATAATGATCGTAATAAAGCATACCATTAAGTCCACCGTGCTGTCAAATTGAATGAATTTTTGTTAATTTTTTTTCATAAATCGACATTCGATTGCTTGACACTTAATCAGCATTTCTGTTCTATTGTCGGTGACATTAAAGCTTTGGCGTTGGTCGCTTTCCGATTTAATGTGTGAGAATTTCTAAGACTTTGTGTGCTGCGGTCAAAAAAAGTTTGATATTGAATTTTATCCGCATGACGCCTTCACTTATAACAAGCAATAATGAGTTGGATGTAGTTATTGAATAAATAATTTTTTAATTACAATAATTTTCATTTTATATGTATTTTATATGTATCACAATTTGAAACATGAGATATGAGATGTTGTTGCTGCTGACATTCGGAACATGTAGCATGCGATTATTTACAAAGAAACCCTTTGACAGAAATGAAATGTTGTTGTTAGGGTTAAGAAACTGTTGATTTCTCGACACAATTGATCGGAATTATTAAAATTTGTTTTACATGTTCTTGTGGATGTTAAAGATAAGATAGTTGTATCGGACATAGTAACAATAAACAGTGAATTTAATCGTCTCTCACTTCTTTGATAATATTTGTTTTTAAATCTAATAATTGAGATTCGAACCTGCACTAGCTCATTTTCTTCACTAAACTTAAATCAACCTTTGATCTTTACATAACTCAAGCCACTTTCAACCAATGTTCTTTAAAGGTTGTCATTAATACAATAACATTATGTATTATCCATTGTTAATGAATCAGTTCTTTAGAACTTTCCCTTTTAATAGTTTTCAATAAAATGAATTATAAACGCATTACAATTTTCTCGATGAAATATTAACTAGAGTCGATACTTTACAATCCATTAAAATTCTCTAGCATGAATGAAGATATTTTATTTATGTTGTCTATTTTCGCTTTCAATTTATTTAATAGACCATTTAATAAATTGCTTCAATTACACCTATAATTTATATTGATTATTATAAATTTTTTATTTTAGAATTAAGTTATTGCTATGATGTGCTATAGAACAATAGCT